GAAACTGGGAGCTCCTCCAGACCAAGCAATATATAACTTAGGGCTATGTTACAGAGACCTACCCCTGACCTAGGCTGGAAGCCAGTCAAGACAGGGACCACCCCCCCCATACCTGTAAAGTTCTGTGCACACCTATGCCATGTAATTCCTGCTTTCCTGCGGACCCAGGAACCACTACACCTTGATAAACAATGGAAAGCCACCGATTCCCCAGTGATCAGTGAGCTCCCAAGAAGCCAGGGAATGGCAAAGGCCTTTGGCAGGGGCACATTCAACGTGCCACGCAACCTTTCATAATCTTTGGACTGATTGTGGAAGACCCGCAGGCTTCCCCAGCCCGACTCATAACCCTACAACCGTTTCACCCATGCCTGGAGCTTTGCAGTCTGAGCACAGCCGAAGAGCTGTGTGCACAGCCACTCCCAATGAAGCCGTATGTGGCTATCCAGGGGCAGGAGATAAGTCGGCCCACCGTGTATGGCACAGTTACTTTTCACAAGAACAAGCTGGTGGGATCCACTTCCCTCTCCCGCAAAGGTTGGATTAAGCTCCATTTTTAAAAGACAAGACAAACCAAACCATGATACGCACATAAGAACTGGCAGAGCAGAGCAGACCAGAGACCTACTCCAGGAGTAGGGACCAGTGCCAGAAGCATCAAAGGAAGATTCAATAAACCGAACAATGGACAGTTATAGAACAGCCTACCAGTGAGACAGAAAAGTCTTCCAATCCCCTGGCAAACAGTTGCTGGCGTATGCCCTGATACATATGGGTTTATGTCCCAGACAAAATGTGTAACTGTGGATATCACCACCAGTCCTTCTGCAGATAACCTGGGGTGAACAGTTTAGTCACAAGCTTTCGGACTATCCAGTTAATTTGAGGCCCCAGCTCCTTGTCACACCTCACAAAGAAGGCTCCCTTTGTACTGCAGGAGCTGCATACATTTCATGCAGCTCGAGTATTGATTTCGAGTCAACCTTGCAACTTCTCCTGTGGTTTTTCTTTTTGACAGGCCCATGCAAGCATCAGAGAGTGTGACGTTAACTAATGCATCTCAACTGACAGCAAAGCCAGAGGTCACAGATGGCAAACAGAACTTGACTGGCAGCAGGCAACGGCTCCAGCAGCCATGCAGGAAGAGCAATAGACAGGTAAGGCTCCCTCTGAGGTCTCTGTTAAGCTAAGCCAGCACTTCGCTGTCAGACTCTGAGGTCTCTGTTAAGCTAAGCCAGCGCTTCGCTGTCAGACCCCAAGGAAAGGTGGACAGTCGGCTGGAAGAACAAAGAGGTGGACGTGATCATGGAGGAAGGGAATTAGCTGGGAAACACAAAAGCTCTAACGATGCAGATCACATCAAAATGGCTATATATATATATATATTTCATTAAAGAGGAAAGACTTCCATCTTCATTCTAGGAATTTCCCTGTGGTTGGGCAGAGGAAACGCGAGCTAATGTGCCACTGCAAGTGAGTTCTACGAGCCTTCCCTTGGCTGGGCTCCCACTTTTCAACAGATACAGCTGTAATGGGCCAAGTTTATCCCAGGAGTAGCTCCACTGAGGTCAGTGGAGTTAAACTAGAGAGACTTTGATCCAAAAACAAGCTGATCTGTGGAAGTAATTTCATCCCACAAGAGATGAGGGGCAGCTGCGGAGCTGTTGTGAGAACCCAAAAGCTGTTCCATCACACCAGGGAGCAATAAGGCAACAGAGTAGGAATGAGCTATGAGGAGAACAACAGTGTTAATCTGTTCCCCGACCCTCCTTTTCACCCTCAATGTGATACGCTCCGTGCACTCCTCATCAGAGGGTTTGGTCCCTTTTTTCCTGCAAATAAATTAATTTCTAATCACTGATACACTTTGCCAAGTTTGTTCTTGTAGATGAAAATTCTAGCAAACCTATCCAAAGCCAGTATGTGTTTGCCTGTATATTACCGGAACAGAGATCACTAACACTGTGATATCAAAGTCACAGTTCATAGTCAAGACCTTACAGCTAAAGTACTTGGAAACATAGGTCAGTATCGTCGACTTATAATGGTCCATGGGGAGTGGGCATCTGATTGCCCCAGTTAGGTGCAAAGTAAACTAAGAATCCCTGCCCAACACCCCTGCTGCTGCTGGACCACCAACGTGTCTATGCAACGGGTTTAAATGGAACATCCCCATGGATGGAATGTCTGGCTGTTGGTTACATCCAGCCATACAGAGCTAGCACACTTCCTGGATGTACCTGTTGCATCCTGGAATTCAAAATGAAAGAGAAATCAGAATGTCTCTCTTCGGCTCATTATCACCACACAGGTTTGAAGGGAACATGGCGTCAGTAAATTACATTGGGGAAGGAGGAGACTGAGATTGTTAACATGCCACCCCACCTACACACCTTTCGGGGGCGGAGGGGAAGAGGGGCACAGAGTAATGCGCTGATCATTCATTTGCCTGGGGCTGCGCAGCTACTCACTTGAAACTGAACATCCACCTCTCCAAGACACTGAGTGCCAAACTCAGCTCGGGTATAACCACGCATAATTCCCGTTCAAAGGGAGCTGCATAGCTTCCACCAAGAACTCCTTTCCCGTATTCTCTGTCACCAAGAGATCCCCCAGAGGCACAGAGGAATGAAAAACATGAGCGCTCCCATTTCCTCTAAAGGCAGCAACGCTGCGTAAGGCAGAGATGGATCAAGGAGGGGATGGAAAGAACCAGCTTGGGGGTTGAATCTAGGCAGCACTTTCAGGCTCTGAAGTCACATTTCTGTGGTCATTACTTCAGTGGGGAGAGCCCCACTCCTGTTCCATTTCAGAACATTTCAGTGTGTTTACACGTCCTTGCATCCGATTATCGGCAGATTGTGAATTTACATAATCAGTGGGGAAAACTTTGTACTTGGAACATAGGCACTGACTGCGTGGGTGCTCCGGGGCTCAAGCACCCATGGAAAAAAATAGTGGGTGCTCAGCACCCAGGAGCCAGAGCTTGAGTGTGGAATGTGATGAGGGAGTTTGTTTATAAACAGAGGCAGGCTGATTAAGATAACAAATTAAATTAAATTAAGGCTCGTTAGATGATCCTGAAAGCATTGCCAGGCACTCCAGTTAAAAGATAGGAAACAAATGATAGGAATAAATGGTCCATTTTCAAAATGAAGAGAGGTAAATAGTGATGTCCCCCAGGGGCTTGTACTGGACCAGTGCTGTTCAACCTATTCATAAATGATCTGCAAAAAGGGGTGAACAGTGAGGTGGCAACGTTTGCAGAGGATACAAAATTAGTCAATATTTTGCAGTCAGCTTTGGACTTAATGTTACAAAGGGATCTCACAAAACTGGGTGAGTAGGCAACAAAATAGCAGATGAAATTCAATGTTAAATGCAAAGTAATGCACATGGCAAAATATAATCCCAATTATATATACAAAATGATGGTGCCTAAATTAACTGCTTCCCCATCAAGAAAGAGATCTTGGAGTCATTTGCAGTACTGTTTCCAGAGTACTGCAAATTTATAAGAATCCTTCTCATGGTGCCTGTATCATCCTGAACTCATTCTCAAGCTTCAGAAGATTTAAAAGTGATCTCCTGTCACCAATGGGACAGACGCAACTGAATAACCAAACTGTCCTTAATGTCCATCAAAACAATACCAGGGAACTAGATGTAAATAAGATTGCTGACGGTTTCATCCAGAAAGCTACAGTTCGGCATAATGTCTTTCAACAGGGACGTTAGTGAAGACAGCTTGTAGGTGATTGCAATGATTTTAATGTAGTGTAATTCATGATGATGTAATTATGTAGTTCACAACAATTTAATCATTATTAAAATAGTAAAGATACCAATGACAGACCCATTCCATAACTAGAATATGAAAGAAGTGTATAAATAGGTTGAAAATAGCCTTCCCCCAAAACTGGCAGAGTGCCCCCTCCCTCCCCAAACACACACACCTCTTCAAAAGCATCCACCAGCAAAAACAAAAGTCAGCACCTATGACTTGGAAACTGAAAGGGCCTGCAGTGTATCAAATATACACATTCATGATTGCACAGACACCAGGAGTTGAGTGAAGAGCACTGCAGTGACTCTTTCTGCCCCCCAGGGGCAGTGCTAAACCTCAAGATAAATAGGCCATAGTTGACAGATCCCCCCAAAGGGGTAAACAGGGAGCTCTCTTGCCTGGTGAGGAAATCCCAAACTAAAGTCTGGCTCAGCGCAGATCCAAGCCATAATCTAGAACCAGGACAGAGTCTTGCAATTCAGCATAGGAAGGTCCCACAGCTGCCAAGATGACACAGTCAATCCCAGGGTGTGCTCACAGCTATGGGTGATGTTTGGCCCAGACCCGCCCCTCAGCTCTGTACCCAGATCTCCCCTCACCCCCGGGTAGAAAAGCGATCACCACTCACACTGCCCTGAGTCCCCGGGAAATTTGAAAGGACCGAGCAGGACATGCCAGGAAGGGGCCGGGCACTTCTCAAAGCAGGGCTGCAATTTGCAATTGCATCAGACAGTGACACAGCTGCCAAAACTCAGGCACCAGCCCTGCAAACAGCCCGCAAAATAACGAGCGGGGAGCACGGCCATGGAAACCCGACACTGCCCGGGAGGGAGGGATGCCCAGCGCCTTGCGAACAGCCGAGTGCCGCTATCAGACACGGAGCCGCCCGCACACACAGGGGGACAAAGTTCAGGGCACGCACTCTGCACAGACTCTTTCAAGCAGCCCAGGAGACCTGCCAGCAGCACGGAGACCTCGGGGTGCCGAGCCAGACAACTCGCGGGGCTGGGCGACTGTCCCCGCCAGGGCAGCAGCAAAGGGAATTCCGGGGGGCAGGGGAGGTTGTTGTCCCATCAGTTGCACCCAGGCGGCCGCTCCTGCCCCACGCGAGGCGCGGCCCCCACCCCAGGGTGCAGCGAGCGCTTGGCCGGGGCGGAACCCGGGGCACGGCGGCTCCCGGGCAAGCTGCGGGCAGCCCCCGCCCAGCACTCACCTGCCAGGATCGCCTTGCCGGGGTGGGTGAGCTTCGCCCTGCCGGCCGGGGCCGCGGCAGCCAGGCGGCGGGGGCTGGGGAAGGGGCTGGTGAACGCGGGGCGGGCGGACATGACTGCGGCGGGAGAGGCTGGCGGACTGGCCCCGTTTAAGCGGTGCGGGGCTGGACTCGGGGCGGGTCCCCGGGCAGGGGGCGGGCAGCAGGGCACGTCGCCCCCCTGCGGACGCCCGGGCTGGCTACGCGCTGGAGCGGCTGTCGGCAGCCGGTCCCCGCCTGCAGCAGGGGTGGGGCCGGCGGCGTCACATCCTCGGGAACACGCGGGGCGGGGCGGGGCGGGGCCGGGCAGCCCGCGGGGGCGGGACTCAGGCTGCAGCTCCGCCGCCTGCTCCTCGCCCGCGGGGAGAAAGTGGGGGGCAGGGTCCTGGGGGGCTGGGAACCAACGGGGGAGACAGGCGGCTGCTGTTCGGGGGGGCTCTGAAATCCTTCCCTCAGGGGCTCCGCTCTGCCCCGGTGCAGCCTCAGCCCAGGGGCTCCCCTCACTCAACCAGCCCCAGGGCTCAAGCAGTTTTTTACTTTCAGAACTGAGGAAGCCAGCCCAGGGGAGCCGGGTCAGGAACGGCCCGGCCCAGCCCAGGGGAGCCGGGTCAGGAACGGCCCGGCCCAGCCCAGGGGAGCCGGGGTCAGGAACGGCCCAGCCCAGGGGTGCAGGGACTCAGCAAGCCCTGGGCCAAATTAAGGCCTGGCCTTACTGCAGCGGCTTGGCTCAGCACCTGCTGCTTCCCAACTGTGGACTCACATGTGGGGGGGAAGCGGGGATGAAACCCTGAAATCACAATCGCTGCCCTCGGGGGAAGAAGCCATGAGCCCGGTAACATCCGTGCCCTAACGGGAGGGTATCGTGGCCTAGTAGATCGAACCCAGGGTCCTAGGACTTAAGAAGCCCTGTGGTCTGCTCCTTAGCAAGTCCCTTTATCCCCCCCATTTCTCCAGCTATGAAATGTGGAGAATGATAGCAACTTCCACTGTAAATAATTATTAGAAATAGACACCTAAGGCAGGCTGATCCAGGCGTTTGCAACTTTATTAAGAGCCATCTGCCAAGGACAGTAGATGAGACAGCGTTTTGAGGGGTCTGGATACGGGGCCAGGGCACTGTTGCATGAAGTTGGTTGGTAATAGAGAGGCAGGTGTCTTATCTATAATTGATTTATATTGCAACTTTCATCCTAAAGGACATGGTTTAAGTTAAGCACGCCTGTAAGTAGCTGTAGGATTAGGACATTAGAGATTATGTACAGCTGCCTTGTACACACATACCCCGCCTCTGCCAGGGAGTGGGTCATCTTCCTCTCTCTCACTTTTTCTAGCAGTATGTTGTTACCTTAATTTATGGAAGTTTGAGAGCAGTTTAATTCCAGCTCAGGGTTGTTATTAAGCCACTCAACTTAGCTCATGGGGTTTAATGTCAGCACTAGAACTCCTTGATGAAAACTGCACTGAGTTATATTTGTCCATAAATTATACAAAAGAGGCACCTGCAAGCATCCAGGCATTCATATTTTATTTTTTTTAAGTCATTTGTTTTTCTAACTGCTGCTTGTAAACAACCTCCTAGAAGCTTAAAAATTAAGTCCTGGTCCCTCGTGAATGTTCCTGCCTGGCTGTTGGACACAGGCTGGTTTGTTAGTGCTGGCAGTGACTGATTGAAGAAAAGCATCTCAGCATTTTTTTTTTATTACAGCTGTTTCCAAGGCCATAAAAAACACCACCACCCCATTTGTACCCCTCTCAACCTTCACAAGCTGTAAAATGATGATTTCTAAACAGGAAGCTCCCTTCCCCCCAACAAATTATGAAAAAGTCAACGTCATACACTGTGAACCTAATACGAGGTGGTCTTAACAGGCTATATATACACACACACCCCTCAGTGAGTCACTAGGGCCTGGCTAAAAAGAACTCTCCCGAGACCCAAAATTATGGGGCTGAGTCTTTTACCAAGAACTAGATTCAAGTCAGCTGTTAGTGCTGCATGGGTAGAAGGGCTTTTCCTCAGGTAAGACAGACATAAGCCCTGACTGGCTAACTCAGTATTAAAGAACACACTAGTATAGTAAGAGACTATTCAGATTTTCACATCAGCCACTAAATGGCTCTCCCAGTAGGGTACATTTTTGGCCCTTGTTAACTTTAGCTGAACTTGAAGTGGTGGCTTAGATATCTATATCCTCAGCCTAAGTTCCCTTCACCAACTTGTCCTCCTTTATCTGTATTTTAAACACAAGGCAACTAGTAGAAATAGTGGTTACTACGTGAATATATTGAGAGAAATTCACTTCATAATTGGATTAGAAACGGACTTTCCCAAGATGGGGAAGATTGTGGATCCAAGGTTCTGGTTGAGTCTAGTTTAAGCAGAACAAAGTCCAGCACAGACTAAGTTTAAACTACTCCAAAGTTAATGACCATCTAAAGGGCAATTTTGTTATCAGAATTCAGAGTCAGTTTTCTGCACAAGACGTAGGGAATTCTAAACATTTGCAGGGAGATCCTAAATCCACAGAAGGCTACCTGTGCAGACTTCCCTCTACAACAGAGCAATTAGCCTGTTCCAAAGCTAACTAATATTACCTTCAACAGGTACCCTCCGACAACTGTAGCTAGCTTCGCTAGATGCAACTCAGCTCTCATTGAGTCCTGTGGTCTGTGCACCTTCATGTTGTTCTTTCCCACCAGCAAGTTTGAGGAGTCTGTTAGCAGATGGAATCTAATTGTGTACTTGGGAAAATTGACTGGTATGGCTCTAGCAGAATCATTATTCCACTGTAGCTATGCTAGTGCAACTTACTGTGTGAACACACTGTTCCAGAATAAATAGAGTGATTTATACTGGAATAAAGTCCTATTTATTCTGGAACAGGAGTGTCCACCCCAAGGGGGTTATATCGGTACCATTACAGCAGTGCAATTATTCAGCCCAAAGGACATTGACCGCTACATCCTATTTTCTTATATAGTCAAGCCTCAAGTGAACATTAAGGGCCAGGCTCTGTGTTCATCTTTGATTCAGATACTTTATATTGGCCTCAGCCACCAATTGCAGGCAGTCAATGCCTGGCCTTAGGTTCTCAAATCTATAGCCATGGCACAATGAGGCTCCCTGCTCAGAACTCATGGGACTTGCAATACTTTTACTGTTAAGGGATTGTATTGAATTTCAGATCCATCATCAATGAGTGTGTATTGTGCTGTTTCAGTCTCAGAGATGGACTGCATCACGGCTAGGAGAAACGGGCTCTTCACTGCTCACATCCAGCTGGGCGGAATAGTTTGGTTCTATGCAGCCAGGGGTGCAGTGCAGATGGTCTCCGTGCCTGTTCAGTGTGCAGGTTCCCGCAGTAATGGCTGTCAACTGTTCATTGGATTTCAATCCAAATCCCATACTGAGTCCGCTTTTTACTTTGTCTGACTCCACTGTCAGGCCCCATCCTCTCTCATTAGTATCCAGTCCGTTACAGGCTCTCTTGGCATACCCTAGTCGCAGCACTCGTAGCAAGCATATCTTCCAAAATCCTGATTATTGGTAATATTATTACTTACCTTAACATGAATCTGGAACTGTAAGCTAAAGTGGTTTCCTGAGTGCCTCATTGTGTGTCTCACCAGTGCCATGGCACAAAGCTGAAGGATGACCTATAGCTTTCAAAATGGCTGTGTTTTTTGCACCAGCATCCATCTTGGCCTCCTCTCTCCTTTGGGCTCATCCCTCCATCCCCTTTTCTGAATTATTACATTCAATCCACAGCAGCTTCTTGGAAAATGAGATGAACTAGGTGAAATACGGAAGTTGTTTACTTGTATAAGAGGTATTACCGGTGGCTTCACAGCATGGTTAAAACATACATATTGATATAGTGTATAATATACCATAAATGCAGTATGCCTAGGTATGTGCGGGCAGAGTAACAGAGTACAAAGGCCAAGATTCAGAGGAACTAATTAAGCTGGAAAGCTTGGAACAGGTTATAATTTTAATGAGAAAGGAGGTTAGGAGTCAGAGACCAGACCGGAAGAGCTGTAAGGACTGGCAGCAAAAGAGCATTTATGGCATGGGAGGCCAGGCACAGACAGAAGCAGCAGTGGAAATATCCAGCTCACATCTTATGCCCGCTCATGGTCCAAACCTTTCATCCCTATATAGGAAGCTAGACACCCAGAACCCAAATCTTCAGTTTTCCTACTAACCCCACTGACCCAGCAGAGGCAGGAACAATGCTATGCCATTTGTTTGCTGAGATTGTTAAGTTATTATTCAGCTCGCTTTGCTTTATCCATCATCCACAGGTGCCAACTTTCCTTGGCGCCGGTGGGTGCTCGCGCCCCCCTGGCTCCACCCCCTCCCTGCCCCTATTGGATTCCTCCCCAAACCCCTGCCTTTTCCCCGAGTGCACCACATTCTCCCCCCCCCCATTTGCTGCGCGAAACAGCTGTTTCACGGCGCAAGCGGTGGGAGGGAGGGGGAGAAGCAGGACACGGCGGTGCACTCAGGGGAGGAGGCGGAGGGGCAGGTTGGGGTGCTGCTGGTGGGTGCAGAGCACTCACCAATTTTTCCCTGTGGTGCTCCAGCCCCAGAGCACCCACGGAGTCAGCGCCTATGCCATTGTGCACTGCTGAGCATCTTCCACCCTGACTCCCCACATCCAGCTCATCTGAGTTTACAGGAGCTACATGAAAGGTTCCACAAGCACCACTCAAGCCATTCTCTGGGTTCTCTCCAACTTGGATCTGCTAGAAGAGTGGGATGACTAACCATCAGTCCTTTTCCTCCCACCTACCTGACCTATAGGAAGGAAGGAATGTAGGCACAGTCATAGATTTGGGGCAGCTGTTTAGAACTCCGGTTAACAGCATTGTTTGGATGGCAGAAAACAAAGATTGTAAACTGTCTGAAAACAGCAAGAGATTTAAGCTTGTGATGGATCTCCGCAGCTCTCTGCTTGCTTCTCATGCCACTACTGTATGTTGTGTCTGCAAATGCTATAACATGCCTATTGCTATTGTAGGTGAGGTCACTTGCTTTACCCAATCCTCAGTACACACCAACTCTTCATTAAGCAATATAGTGGCTTTTTTAGGTCCTAACTCATCAAGTCCGTTAAGCAATGTGCATGATCTCAAACTTATTCAGTAAAGTACTTAAGTGCACTCTTAACCTAACGTACATACTTAAATCCCATTTACCTCACTGAGATATAAACAGCTGCTTAACTTTTAAACATGTGATGAAC